GTTTCAAACTATCCGAGTAAAAATCATAGAAGAATGTTAGTTTGCGAGAGTTTACGATACATCGATACATTACGATACGTCGATCAACGAAGCTTTTCCCGAAACGTAACGTTGTGAAATTGATGGATCACTTTACGATAAATAATCATATAATCGCGAGGAGTTGAAACTTCACTTTTCCAGTCTTTAAGTGGGATTGATCCAGTCAATAACTGGACTGCGAGATCCAGTCTTTAACTCTCTGATTTTAAAATGACGTTACCCGTCATTCTTAATTATTTCGATCGAATCGACAATTATTCAGTCGAAAGCAACGAGAAAAATCTTTCTCCGTCGATGACGGCGTATTGTCGTTTTAAAAAGATGGGTGGATAGCGAAGCCCGTCAGAATTAATTAATTCCGCTGGCGCTCCTCCATCCTCGGGTTTCTTTCAGCTCCGTCAGCTCTTGCAGACTCCATCGCATCCGCGACAAGTCATCGCCGACGTCGGCTTTGCTCGACGAGCTCTCCCTTGTGAAAATCGCGACGAACCGCGAAAAAGCGTGTCCGCCCGAGCGAAGCGATCACGATAATTTTGTCGGGGTGGTCGACGACGCTGAGAGAAAGAAAGATAGAAGGAAAGAGAGAGGGAAGTCTCTCGCGAGATGATTTTAAAAAGAGGGGCAAAGGCGCGCGGTCGTAGATAAAGAAAACTAGAAGTAGAAAATAAAAGAACGAAGATAGACGTGGAAAGGGCTGACTAGGAAGGAGCGGAGCCGGAGGGAAGAGACCGGAATGAAATTTGCATCGCAAAATCCTACCGTTTACCTCATCCCATCCCTCTCCCTCTGTTTCTCTACCCCGTGTTTCCCTCTTTCACTCGGTGAAGGAGGAGCGGCGTGCTAGCCGTATATATACGGGGTAATGACGGTGCTGCTCGGTATTCCGTGAAGAAAAGGAGGAACGTCCATTGGACAAGCGCGGGACTCGCTTCTGCATCGTGGATCCTGTTTTGTGTCTCGTAGGCTTGTTTGTTTTGCACGGACTATCGAATGCACACAAAAGGCGCCTCCCTTCTCCTTGGTCCACTTCGCAGATCCCAAACCCTCGCAATCTCTCGCTTCCTTCAGCCACTGTGGTTCGCCCGTTGCAAGAAAAGGGAGCCGAAGCGGTGACCTATGAAGCAGGAATTTTTCGAGTTTTTAACTACCGCACGTTTATCACGCGCGCTCGCGTAATGTAAACAACTAACTAAATTATCGTTTTAACCGAGCAGCTATACCTTTGATACTTATCCGTTAATTGATTTTATATACACTTTGCAGCAAATCGCGTAAAACAGTATACCCGCAAAATGTTTATAATAATAGTATACTCTGCTTTGCCGTAATGGAATGGAATAATACATTTTTTTTTTTTTTTTTTTTTTTTTAAGTAGATATATAAAACCAGAAGAATTTACATAAGACACTAATTCTATGGTTTGATAGATATATCACTTTTTAATTTAAAGAAGATGAATAAATATCTATATATAATAGGGGTATTTAAAAAAAAGATACACTTTGCAGCAAATCGCGTTCTGTTTAACGTAAAACAGTATACCCGCAAAATGTTTATAATAATAGTATACTGCTTTGCCGTAATGGAATGAAATAATACATTTTTTTTTTTTTAAGTAGATATATAAAACCAGAAAAATTTACATAAGACACTAATTCTATGGTTTGATAGATATATCACTTTTTAATTTAAAGAAGATGAATAAATATCTATATATAATAGGGGTATTTAAAAAAAGATACATTCGTTCTCTTTACTTTATATAGTTTAATTTGCATATTAAAGAGATATTTGAAATGTAAATATTATCGACGCGCAATGTCGCTATATAGGTCACGTCGTGTATGTTATACCTGGTATAAACAGAAACAAAACTTACTGCTTTGTGTGTACTATATGTAACTTTTCGCTGTGAATAAATCTCATCACAACATTCGCGTAATACTAGGTATACGTTGAAAAAAATTTCCATTTTATTTATTATACATACGTACGCCATAAACATGATCAAAATTTTATAAAATTAATCAATCTTATCAAATTACGCAATCCCCCGTGAACGAAAGAACAATGTTATTGCGACGTTGCGGTTTTCAGATGCACGTAATGCGATCTTTTCTGAAGACGCTGCTTGTTAACGATCGATAATTATAAATAATTAGTGAGGCGAAACGATGTCTTTTTGGTGCTCAACAAGAGTTCAGTGACACTGAATGCACTTTATCTCGAAAAAAACATTATATATATATATATATATATATATATATATATATATATATATATATATATATACGCGAGAAAGCATTAATGATCCTTCCTGCCCCGTGCGCGAGAGAAGCTACTCGTTTTTCAACATTGGATCACTCCTGGTTTAAAGCACGTTTCCATTATCTCGCTTGTTACTCGTGTAACTTCAGTCAGACCTTTATCCGTTTCGTGTAATACGTGTGCTCGCTGAGTTTTGCTTGGTTTCGCTGAAAGGTACAATGTACCCGATAGCTTTCCATTCTCGAGCTCCATCGAGTATTCAAAGCAACCTATCTGGAGTTCCATTATAGGTTTTGGTGCATACGTATTGCTGTATCTTACAACTTCAATACCGAGTGCAACACTTGTTTCTGACGGCTTTAGGGCCTCGTTCGTATTCCGCCCCTATATCTTAGACGCGGCACGAAAAGCATACAGAGTCCTTATGAAAGGAACATATATTGCTTACAATTCGATACCGCGTAATAGATATTTTTCCAACAGCGGTAGCTTAATAGCAGTACGATACAGTTGTACCCTAATTTATTATTTCGATGATATAGTAATATTTTACGACTCTATGTACTGCATTCTATTACATGCAGTTGTGTAGCTGCATAAAATATTCATATTCACACAATGAAATATATATACATATATTTCAATTATATTACAACATTTATATATCCAGTTACGACAATATGAAACTGTATTTTTCGTAAATAAAAAATTGCTTATAATAACAATTACATCGGATCTCTTTATTAAAAATTTAAGTACACAATAATTTTTCATTATCGGAATTCTCATCCTCATTTAGACTCCGCTGTATACGTACACGCTCTTCTCTATGTTTAACCATAATATATACTATACATCCATATACAATTTTCCACATAATGCAACGCGTTTGAAATAACTTGGTGATGTGAACGTAGTTTCTAAGGAATATGTAGGAATTTATGAAAAAGAAGTGGAACACATGAAAGGATAAATGGCGGAAATACGCGACGTAACTGCAACTGCGCTCGGTAAATAAAAGAGTTTTCCTTTACATCGAAAGGTAAATGATGCATCGGACGATGCAACGACAAAGATGATATTTCTTTTACGAGAAAAGATTATCTCGAAATGAAGCTCAATTTAAATTAATTTCGCAGAACAGTCGAGGGGATCGAGTATATTACGCGATCGCCGCGGAAAAGTGATGCCGATGATGCTTCTTCGATCGAGGGAAACGTTTTGTGTCACGCACGACTGCGTAAATGCACTCAAATGCACCGGACGCCCGGTGGCGTTATTTTCCCAGTTTCGGAGTTTCGCATCGGGCTAACGCCTGAAATTAATAATACTAACACCGGGGGAAAAATAATTTTACCTCCGGCGAGGTGTGAATAATGCATGAGGCGTGACGCGAAATCCGTGTAACGTTGCAGTTGCAATTGCAGCGCATATGGAACGCGCGTACTTATACATACATCGTGTGCGGTACACATATACATATGCACGCGCGACATACAATTGCAATGGCGCCACCCATCCCATTATTGCAGACGCTCTCGCGACGACCTCTTCCTTGAAAACGATCGCGTTCGCTAATAGCGCCGACGTAATTAAAATTTCATGCCCCGCGGCATAATAATGCTCCCGCTATTTGTCGACGAGTCGTGTGGATGGTGCATAATCCGCGACACGAGTGACACGGATTATCGCGTTAATATCGCGAGACGAGCAATCTCGGATAATAACAGCCGGCCTTTTAACTAAATGCCACTCAGTGACGATCGTAAGCGATTTTATATTTTACGGGGGAGCGCGATATTTAGGTGGCCGATTTGTCGGACGAAATAGACCTCTTATCGTGCAGACTGTGTGTACGTACCATAGAATGAAGACAGACGAGAAAGAGAGGGTGGATGGAGAAGCGCTATTTGCAAAAATGATAACAAATGCCTACGTTACCGTGGCAGCGCGATAAGAGTTCCGCTTTGCACGACAAATGCAGCTACTGGCGATGATATTTACATAAATATGACCGTTACACTGTATGCTAGTGGCAATCAGTTTATCCCGAAAAAAAAGGAGAGATTCGTTGACAGGGATATGAATTGCACGATCCATTTTATACTTATTAGTCGAACTTTTATAAATTTCTGGATAGAAAAGAACGAGCTAATTTATATATTAATTTTATAAATCATTTTATTTTGATTATATCTAGAAAAAAGGTGTATCACATATATTATTATATATTCTTTAATCAAGCATTTCATTCACATTTAAACTTTGATTACGAAAATACTTGTTTAATGACCCGGAAAATGTCCAGAGTTATATTAAGAGTACGCTCTATCACTTTAGCGGTAAGAGTTGGCTACTTTCTTTTATTCTTTGCCGGTAAATTTACCTTGGCAGTTAATTCCATTGTAGCGTCCTACCTGCAATACATTTTCACGATAACAGCCGACACCATTTTTATGGACTCTTCGCTCGAACCATAAGATAAACTTATCAATGGGGACAGGACAACACCGCCACCACGATTGCGTTAAATGAGCGTAACATAAAGAATGTATTTGAGGTGGCGCGGTTAAGAGTGATTTTTGACACAAGTGTCTAAAAATATAATTCCTCGAACGCGTTCGTGTTCGACGACAATGTCGAGAGACGTCCGTCCGCAGACGATTAACATATATCATTCTCTCCTTAGGACATCGACGTGAGCCTGTAACCACCCTGCGATTATCACGATGCCAGGAACGTGCTTGATGACCGATGCGGTCAGGACAGCGGATAGTTAGTAATGAGGAGGAGCAAGTTATCGGCGTGCCGACGGCTCAGATCACCAGTAACATGCCAGTCCTTGGTCCCAACGCCGATCCAACTCCACTTCGAGGACTTCTGATCGCTGTCTTCGTCCTATTGTCCCTGCCGCGTTGTCGCTGCACGGATCTAGGTAAGTGGAATCCGAACTCCCGCGCGAACGCGTCATAGCCAAGTTTTATAACTTCCGAAAAGCGCCGGATGCTCCTTTGACCCCTTCCAACTCTCGCGTTACTCTCTTACAATCTTCTCCATTGTCCCAAGGCGCTCTGTCGCGCCAAGTCAAAAGGTTGCATCCACCAATTGAAAATCTTATACGAGGCATCCCACGGAGACAATCGCAAGTTTTCCAGGAGAGAAATGCTTAAAACTTTGAAACAAGTATGATTCTATCTATAATTCTTCGCGCGAAAAATCATTTTTCCCGCATGTAAAAATTAATTTTGGGGAACTTGAGATATTCGTTAAATGTATGTAACGCGATTTTAATCAATTTTTTTTTGAAAGATCGAGATAATTCTCCACAACATACGGCAAGAATTTTAAAATTTTACATACTTATAATTTTTGTAATAGTATTTAAATATATTAATTTAATTACAATTACATCACATTGCTGTTATAAATGTGCAATATCGTCATAAACTGTCTAAAAAGGGAGTAAACTGTATAAAGAGATATTAAGTGGATCAAACTCCATAATAAACTGGCTGCCGCCGGCAATAAATTTATGAGTTAATTACGGCATCATCAACTTTGATTATTGGAAGATTGCTCAATTATCTATCGCCCTCTCATTCCACTGCTTTTTGATTTAATATTATTCGCGATCGTATTATATTTTACTAGAGATCCGTCCAAGTTTTCTTCTCACATACATATGAAACATTTTTTCTTTTCACTGATTTTTCTTTCGCTGACAACTACTGAAACTCTTATAAATAATCGAATATGTAAAGTTAACCCCCCATTTTATAAATTTTGAAAAAATTAGAATTCTGGCTGCCCCCTTAATAGGTCTAGAGCTCTCTATCGACTTTAGAAATAAATCCGCCGTTTGAAGCATCGAAAATAGCACTTTATGCACAAGTTACACGAAACTAACTTCACATATTTTTCCAACTTCTAGGCCGCATAACTTTGTTTCTATTCATTTTAGCGCATTGAACAAGGGTAATCGATAAAACCCTTAGAACTCTCGGAGGGCTATCAGAACTCTCAACAAAATTACCAATTTCTAAAAAAAATTTTTTTTATTCTTCTGGAACTTGAAAAAATTTCGAATTTAGAAAATAAAGATAAAAATGTCGTGGCTACTTTTAGTTATATTCTCCAGATAATTTCCAAATTCGAAGGAGTTAAAATTTTTTCAAATTTCGCAGTTCTGTTTAGAGTACTGTTTGCACCCCAACAAGTTTTATAGATAAGTATTAACTTCAAGTATAGCTATTTTCGAATGCTGCTTTAAATAGCGGAACTATTTGTAAAATCGATAAAGACTATTGAACGGGCAGCCAGAAGTCTAATAATTTTTTCAAAATTTAAAAAATAAGGGGCTAACTTTACATACTCTAAATAATTGCATATTTACGAATTACTATCAAAAATTATTGTTGTTATTATTCGAAAATAATTAAGGGCGACATGAGCGATTACAAACGGAAATAAATGATTCTTTTGCTGGATAAAAATGTAGAATAAAAAAAGAGAGAGGAATCTGTGTGTTTTAGCATATTTTTGTTAAAAATATTTAATTAGTTAATCTCTGTTTTATTATGCTGATTTGGTAAAACTCTCATGTTTTAATTTTTAATAAATTTTAAAGTACAATGTGCTAATAAAGAAAGTCCCGGACAAGATGATTCTAGATCCTTTTGTTGCACGAGCGGAAAAGGCATGATATCCACCGGAGGATGTCGTGCGTACTAATTTTTTTTCTTCTCCTAGCACTGAAGCGCGTACGCAATAATGCCATACCGCCTATACACCTGGCCTCACCAAGGCATTGTACCCTCGTAAATGAAATGTCAGCCGCACAACGAATTAACAATACTATCTAATAGCTGCTCAGATGCAGACAAGCGAGAGCGAGAGCTGTGCATTGTACCGATTCGTTCTGGCGTACCGCAGTTCTGATTCCCGCCGTTCATTGTTTACCGCTTATCCGCTATATTTTTATGCAAATTAATTGTATGTTGCCTGCAAGATGATGTTACGTTGAATAGAGATACCCATAAAACGAGAATATGTTATAACTCACATCTTTACTCATACTAATATTAAATTTTTCGCCGCATTTTCATTAAGGAAATATATCCTTTAGGAAATAAAGAAAACTTGAAATTACACATCTAATGCGTATAAAAAAAGTTGAAGCATTTTATGTATTTTTGATTTTATATTTTAATAGTTATTAAGTAATATTGACATTATATTTAAATTGAAATTTTATAATTTTTATATTAGTGACATGTTTTATTCTTCTAGTGTATATATTCATTAATGATTGATATTTTAAATAGATACATGTAATGCTATAAATATTACAATTTATCACTTGAATACATTTAAGCTCTTAGCAAATCAAACTGTCAATCATATCACAAATCATTGGACTCGTTCATTATCCTGCATGTTGCGCGAAAACACATCGCGTCTAGGATATCCCAATATGTCAGCTTGACTTATTGCTTTGGGACATGACACTAAAGCTCGGGTTCATAGCCGTTATCGTTATGTACATTGGATATTCAATGCACACGATACGCTATGCGCTCTTGTACACAAAGTACGAACACTTGAACGTTAAAATCAGGAATGTGAATTGCTGCAAAAATATTGCACGTTAAGCTACCGATATTACATGCAAACAGAGATATGTTTATTATTTTGAGACAATCAAAGCGTATTGGATGAGGTAAAAATTATTTTATTTATAAATATGGCCAAAGTCTTTTTTTACACATGTTACATAGCTACTTTGTTCTTTTTTATCTCTTTATTGGATAGATAGATCGCAACAATTGATTAAGTGTAACGAGTAGGTATTTTATTTGTTGGATAATTTTCACGAAACATCTGATGTGCACCAACTATGTAGCTCGCTAAATTCAAGTTAGTTCAATAATTACAGCACAGTTGATCTCATTTCCACTATGTTGCATTAACGAATGCAACATAAAGACGAATACTAGATTCAAATAGGTCGAAGTTACTCGGTCTGAGTGAGGAGAGACTCCAATGATTATTATATAATTATATGCATTCGGAGACATAATTTTGCACGAGTTTCTCGGCTTCATTTTCAATTTATTAGAACATCTGATTTTTTACTTTGCTCGTGTTTTACCATAATTAATAGTGTTCCCATTTATATCAATTTAACAACTGAAACAGTTTAATAACTAAATTAATATTGCAATATTAATGACAATTTTATGCACTCTGTTTCACTTCATTTTTATAATTATTAAATAATTATAAAGAAATGTAATAACTCACATCACTGAATCAAGTATAAAGGACTATATAAAGAAAATGTAAATAAAGTCTAATATATAATAAGGGAATGGCGCGCATCTTTTATGAAAAAAATGCAAAGAATCCACTTTGCAGCGCACTAGAAATGTCATAAAAATTTAATAAAACAGCAAACATCAAGAGAAAAGAAGAAGTTATGTTAAATGGACCTCATTAAATGAGTCCTATGTTATTACCAACCATTCTGCGATATATTAACTATTCTCATCGAAAAATCCTGGCACAATCTGCGAAATGTAGTTTTTCAATATTTATCTTAACTTCCAGAAACTTCATTAATGTACATTAGAAACAATAAGGTCTCTCAGTTTGATTTGATCTCATTCATGATTGACAATGCAATGAGTTTATATTTTTTTTGTATTAATGCTACATTTATATTATAAAATTAATAAAAATTGATAAATAAAAAATATATAATAATCTCGCGTTTGACATCTTTTAGACATATCGAACGCAGATTTTAGTCGCGTTACCCCGCTACATACCGGATGAAGTTTCGCCGTATAATGCACGGTAGGTGAAACGTAGAGGACAGTTACAAACACAAGCGAAGTTTTGTTCCATGAGCGGTAATACCAGCTCATGGAGACCATAGCTGGCCGGTAGTAGCTCCGGAGGCTGGGCTAATCCCACGTCCGCTGCATTCTGCAGTTTTGAAACTTTCCGCCGTAACTGCAGTATCGTAGCTTAAGCGCAGTAACGTTGCACGCGCCGCGCGCCAAGATATGTATTGGTCGGCCTGACTCTCCTGCGAATTCGAGAATTTATCATCCGCGTACGTATATGGCGATACATTGTCATCAGTGATACTATTGCTGATTGATATTCGATTTTTCTCAACGACGTTGCACAATTATTTTATATACAACGGCAAAATAAAAAAAAAATGGAAACGTTATTTCATTGTGTCAATCCTGAATATCGTCAGTATATGTGTTAGTATATTATTTTATCTTCTCTGCTTCGATGCTTTCTATTGGATATCGAAACAGAAATAAAAAGTATATATGAGAGAACGGAAGAAAGGGAAATCCTCTATCTATGTCAAATCAAAATGCCAATAAGATGTTTTCAGAAATTGTATTTTTACGTGCTTTTATCGATATTTGTCTTGTAACAATAGAAATACAATCGCATCGAATTTGTTATATTAAACTAACAGGCGTTTTATATTATTCCTATCGATATCTTGAATATATTGTATTTCTAATGATTATTAAAGCAGCTGATATCTCATAGAAAAGAAATTTAAAAGAAGCTATTTGCTACAATTTTAAATTATTTATTCTTACGTACACGCAGCGGAATACGAAGTTGCATGTTTGTGACGATCAGCATTTCTGAGGATTTCATTGAATTTGCACATTTCTGCAACAAGTATAGAAGCAAGCGGAATTGTCGGAAATAAAATTATTAGACATGTCGGAATAAAATTATCATAAATCTGAATGCAATAAAAATGCGAAAAGGAAAATACATAAAATTAACTGTTTAACAATTAATTTGATAAAAACTAAATATTTATGTATATGTCGAGAAACAAGATTCCATTATTATTATTATTATTATCATTATCACCCATTCGAAACTTTCGTTTTAACGAGCGACATTAACGAAATGAAGATTGATATTGAATTTTGCCTAATGTAATCATGAATTGTTTCCAGGACAATGCACTACGGCTTTGGGTATGGAGAACGGAGAAATCCCCGATGAAGACATCTCGGCGAGTTCTATATACGATCCCAGCCTCGGACCGAAACATGCCAGGTAAGAGAACAATCGTATCGCAAGACTGGCATCAAGCGAGTCGACCATTTTGGTATCTCGGGGAAACGAATATTCGGCTTTTGCAAACGTCTACAGTTCCGATGTTGCTTAGCATAACAGCAGAATTTCTTAATCGTGTTTCTTTTTAAATCAACATTATCTTCTCGCTAGAAAACTTGCACATTTCATATTTTTATAACAGTCATAAATATTGTTATATACAAATCTATAATTTTGCACATTTATAATTTTGATGTCAGTCAATATAAATTATATTAAATTCCTGTTTTTATTTATGTACATATTATTTCTTACGCTATTGCTGTCACGGAAAATGATCACGCAAGATTTGATCTAACTAAAAATATAAGATGTGCATCAGAGTCTGCGCAAATAATTAATCCGCATTTTCATCAAGTTTTAATTAATTCGAAAAGTATAGCTTATCTTGAAATAAATTTAGAGATAAAATAACGCGCGACGCGTGTATATCGCGCCTTTCACATTGTGCTAGAATTAAATGAAATAATTGCCACATCTGCATTGGATTATAGTATAGGAATTCTTTTAACCTCGCAATGTAAATCGCGTGACACGAAGGAATGTCTCGCGCAATGGCATTAGGGAACCTGTGTGTGCTACGTAGTTCACTTTATTCCTTATTACAACCCCGAGATTAAAATCACTCGCTGGTACGGCGTTCGCGCCCCGCGCCTTAGGTGTATTAAAATTTTAAATAACACGCGGCCTCGAAAGCACGGTTGTAAAATTCTCTCTTATCGGGAAACGAATTAATGACGATTATGAGAGGATATAGAGGAACGAAAATCTCCTTTAATATCTCTGCGCGGGGTTAATTTTTTGAGAAACATTTTTTCTAACGATAATAGCATTCTTTTTAAATCACATTTGTCTATTTATTACTTACTAATTATAACAATTTAAAAATTTCCATTATTATTTCCCTTATTTCATTATTTATATATTTCTATTATATAATTATAACAATTTTAAATAAATATGGAGAATGATTATAAATAAGTTTGATACAGAATTCATCGCGCTGTACAAAATTAGCACGTATATAATAATCTCTGTCTACGATCGATAATGGAACTGAAAAATTAAGATCGAGCGCCTCGATGAAATTGGTGGATTATCAGCCACGATTAGTGGATATAGTATCTTCACACTTCCATCATTAATAACGAGTTTCCCATGTAGAACACCTAGACCGCAAAAGCGGGCTGTGTGTCGAGTGGATCAATCTCGTCGACAATATATGACAATTTACGGTAGGCTCTTTGCACTCATCGAAAACCGTGAAGCAATCTCCGATAATAACCGATTTCGCATTTTGATACCCTCGTTAGGGTGCCAGCCAAAACAACGTTGTGACTATATATATATATATATATATATATATATATATATATATATATATATATATAAAGATACTTTTTGGAAAATTGTCGCGGTGAGATCGCAGCGCGCGTGTTCGGCAATTAAAAAATTTTAATTAAATCGTCGTACGCGATCGATCAGCCGTGACGTTTTAATTAACAATCAATTCGGTAAATCAAAAAGCGGCCTATGCGGCTGCATATTTCGAGGGAGATAGTTTCTCGCCGGAGAGTTACGTCCTTCGAGCAAGTCGTTACCGGGGAGTTTCAGGATACACGGCCACACACAAGTCCAGCACGATGTAATAGGAGATAGGGTAGTAGCGGCCGAAAGAAGGTCGGCGGCGACGGTAGAAGGGGCTGCGCTCGACCCCTACAAATTACCTCCAATTTCGTGTAAATTCCTCGTGCCTGCGTCAGCATAATACCTGTATTAGAGCGCCTGGCTCCGGCTCTTAGGTGGCAATAAATCTGTATTAGAGCAAGGCGCCGCACCCTCTTGCAAAAGGGGTACGACAATCCAGGACCGGTTAATTTTTCAGGGCCATGATTCGCCTGCCATGTTTTCTACAAGGTTACCTATCACGCGTCTTGATAGCAAATATTTTTCTTAATTTACTCGGTTATATATACGCTCTTTCTATTCTCGGTTCCTTTTATTCTTTTCTTATTCTCAATTCCTCGCGTGTATATATTTTATTAATTATTGATTTTTACATTATGATAAATTTGTTTGTACATCAGTCTACTTTGTAGAAGAACGGAGATTCTCAAGAATTTATCTTATTTTAAAAATGTAGAGAAGTCTCTTGGAATTGGAATTTGGAAAATTTTCTCTTAAATTGTTTCTTTAATAATTTTGAGAACATAAATATTTGAAAGATCAAAGAAATCTCAGGGAATATCTTTACAAGATTCGAGTAGACATCTTATATATATGTGCGAGTATGTATGTATATTAAAGTGGTCTTTATTTATTCGTGATCAAATTTTTTCCGCAGCCCTTTTCCAATCTACAAAGAAATAATCCTTGCCAAGTTTCAATTCGATAATCTAATACAAGAATACTCAAATGTTTAATAAACTGGGAGAACGAAATCCCGTTGTCTGATTGAGTTGAAATTTAAAGGCAAGAATTATTATTATTTTTTTTTTTTTTTTTGAAAATTTTCTGCCGAAAAAATGTTATCAAGAGTAAATAAGTACTATCCTAAATTATATGTACAATTTTATATTGAAACATAAAAGTTCATTATATTATATTCCATTTTACTTATTGCGTGATATGTTTCATATATTCATGAAATCATTATAAGATCAATACGAGAATTGTTTAAGGTTGAAGAGAGATTCTCTAATATGGTTAAAGAGAATTGACATCGCGAGGAAACGGCAAACGCCATGAAACGTATTCGTATCTGTAAATTGAAATTGTATAATTGCAGGTTCTTGAGTTCTCTCTCGTGAGTAATCACTTTAGAAGCTCTCATTACGATAAAATCTTTTCGGTGTCACGAAGCGTGAGTGTCTTCGCTCAAACACTCGCGGTATTCGACGAGTATCTAGCTTTGAATCTAGTTTCAACTACGGGAGTTGAATAGTTACTGATGCTTATCGCGTTCATACACGTGTTATCGCGCCGGGATAACGCAGGATATATATAATCGCGCTAGCGTACGATTATAATTATAGATGAAAGATAGATTTCCGCATCACGGGATCGCGGGAACTGACCTAGAAGGACAAAGGACTCGGAGTAAGATACAACGCCATGCGTTACTTCGCGGAATATGATACAACGTTGCGCACATAACGTTAAAGCACTACATTTCAAAGTACATGTCCTCGGTTTCCCGCCGTAACGAAATTGCATCGTACATTTTGTTAGAGACGGCCGCGACAAGGCAGCGCTGCGACATTTTAAGGTCATTGTTATCCATTCCAGCCAGCTGGTTAAGTAGGATATACATAATAAATAGCGAAAACGTAATTTCTGCACGTACCCATGTAATACTTTTAACGAGCCAATTAGTTTCATACGACATTTCGTTCCTTTGTGCAATACGCTTTGTTAAATAACATGTAAAACATCTAGAGCTTATATTTTACAGCTTGCCATTCTCGTTCGCATTATGCTAAAGCTTATTACATTAAAAGACATTTTTTTCATATACTTTTAATATACGCGTAGTTTATTGTGATTAGTGTGCGCGCGCGGTAACATTGAAGTAAATAACGATGCGAGGACAAACAATAGCGGACGGCGGACAGTGGACGAAATACAAAAGGACGAAAAGAAGTCAGAACGGTGCGAGAAAGCGTGTCCACGCACAAAGAGACGCGATCGATAAGGGCCTGGACAGGAAAGTGGACGGGCATGCTGGTACGTGCAACGAAAAAGTTTTTCGTTTTCGTGTATGTGGCGCTGGGGCCATTCGTATCGCTTTAGAGTTGGCATGAAAAAGAGACGTCCGAGGTGGTAGCTCGATGTAAGAGGCAAGGGAAAACGTGGAGCGAAATAGGGGAGACGAGAGAGAGAGATGAAGAAAAAAAAAAAGAAAGGCAGAGAATACGAGGGCCCCAGGCGTGACAAGCCGAAATCTTCGACGTGCGAAGGAGTAGGGTGAGAGAAGATCTATTAAGGGATCGGGGTGGTCCCAGAATCACGCGGACATAAACTGTCCTACAGCTACGTTACGTGTGCTTTCAGCAGCCGAAGCCGAGGAAAAATGGTGGCCATATTCTTCCAGCTTTCGAGCCTGGCTATCTGCCACTTTGTTACGATTCGAAAACCTTGGTGCCTTCGGTACAGCTCCTTCTCTTTCTCTCTCTCTCTCTCTCTCGTCTCGGTGATTTATATAACACCCTCTCTGATACCTCGCCCGTTTTTTCTCACCCCTTGTATCGCTCGAGCAACTACTGTGCGCCGCTATCTTCGTCGTCGTCGTCGTCGTCGCCTGATGGAACAGGCATTCGAAGGATGCGCCGTATCGCGCCACCGAAATGCGCCGTGCATTTCGTGGCTTAAGCCTCGTTCGCGTGACGATGTACTTTCGTGGTATAAATCTTCGGAGGGAGTTTAGAGGGTGTGCTCGCCTCGCAACACCCTGAACAAGCGACCGGCTCTCGTTTTACGGGTGCTGATACCCCAGTTCCGGCCGTCCGTTCTTCTAGTATACCTGGGCACCAAGAAATGCGGAATTCTTTTGATAAACGAAACACGCATTCCACGCGACACACCGTATTTACGTTGCAACGCGGGCAAAACAGACTCTCTGACGCGGAGATGTATACCCTGGATGCATCTTGGGGGAATAGTTGAAAAGTCGATGTTGATCGTGAACATGTTTAAAGAAGAAGTTGCTTAGAAGACAAATGTTATTTTCACAAACTTTTATGAGGACTTAAGAAGCGTATGCCAATAATTTTTTTTCAATTAACGTGTATTTCAAAGTATAATACGTCGTATTTGTTCATTTATATAGTAATTAATTAGCATAATTAATAATTTCATTATTTTCTATGCGCATGCTACACAATAATATTCAGCATTCAAATCATATTTTTTTCTTTTGTCTTGTGAAACAAAACGTTTAT